TCAAACTTTTTAAACGGGCCTAGATATGTTTAATTTTTATATCGCTTACGTGGCCCAGTGGTTAAAGCGCCTGCCCTAGAGTCACGAAGTGAAAAGTTGAACCCCACTGTGGGACGTGGAGACCTATAAAGTATAAACAGAGGTCCCGTGTCGCAGGTGTTGACAGGAAAAAGATCCCTCACTGCTCAATGACCTTGAGTGCGGAGTATAGGGCAAAATTGTAGCAAAATTGAAAAGTATTGTATACAGATCACTTACCCTATATTCCATTGACATGGTCAGAAGGACACGAAGGAGCATAAAATCATATAAAATCCAAATGTATCTTTGAAACCAAACACTTTATCTTTCAATCACGCGAACCAGACCGGTCGATTCCTAAGCTGACTTACATATGAATGATATTTGAAAACTATGGTACAAGTCATTTACCCCATATCACACTGTTGACTATGTGTAGATACCCGATGAGCGTGGTCATAATGACAACTCGGGAGCTACGCTCCCTCGTGTCATTATGACCACGCCCATCGGGTATCTACACATAACCAACAGTATGATATGGGGTAACTACTACATAACTTTTAAACAGCTGGTACTAGGGCTTTCATACTTCACGTGCGTCTTCATTGTGACAAGACCTTTCAGTTGGTTTTAATATTTTAGACTTTGACCTGAGGTTTGACCACATTTTAAAATGTTTTACCTTTGTCATAACTTTTGAACAATGAAGACTAGGACTTCCATATTCCACATGTGTATTTTTGTTACAAGATCTTTCTTTGGGTACCAGGCACAGGCACTTGTTTCGGGAATAAATTTTAACCCTTAGTATAATAATAACACAAGGTATCTAACTCCAAATTATACGGAGTACCCCACTCCCTTAGAATCGCGCTCATTTACACTTTCAGAGAACTGTTTTTACCTATGTCATCTACGATAATTTATCTAAACAACGATATATGGCTTGCTTGTCTTTGTTTTATTTAATCTCCGTATACAGCGTCAAAACTCTACTCGCCGAGTGGAAAAGTCGATCTAAACCATAAAACGGTATGTGCTAATCTCGGGCAAGGAGAAAAATTAAAGAATGCGTGGGTTTAAAAATTCAATTCCAGATTTTAAATATTGCATTGAATAAATAAAATTTCATAGTGTCTTATTTTCCATAAAAGCACTACGATGTTTTTCCGATATAATTTTAGAAACAGATTTTAGCCAATAAAATTCGAGGTCTAATTCTTTGCCCGAGACTAGAACATACCATTCTATGGTTGAGTTTCACTTTCCACTCGGCGAGCAGAGTTTTGAAGCTGATTACGGAGATAAAAGAAAATAAAGACAAGCATGTCAGATATGGTTGTGTAGATAAATTATCGTAGAAGACATAGGTATAGACAGTTTACCCATGCATTTCCTCTGAAAGTGTAAATGAGCGCGATTCTATGGGAGGGGGGTACTCGATGTAAATCGGAGTTAGATACCTTGTGTTATTATTATACTATGGGTCAAAAATTTATTACAGAAACAAGTGCCTGTGGTACCAACAATTTTTATCTTGACCATTGGAGTTTGACATGCACTTGAAAAAATTAAACACTCGTCATAAACTGCCATACGGTGACATCAGTATTTTAACAAACACACCTTGCTTTTGTAAGGTTTTTCCTTTAATATAATATGTGTATGTATTCAATGAAGAACTTAAGTGTTGAGAAATCAAACAACAACAAACGTGTTTAAATTTAAAAAGTTATTTTATTTTCATCAGATCCAGAGGTCAATTATGCACCACAAATTTTTAATACTTCTAGTTAACTCGTTCATGAGTTTACTCGGGTCTGGTTCAAGTCAGGTAACTCCATTTAAAACTCCACATAAAATTATACTCTCGGACACTGATTTATATCACCAGTAGAATATATACACTGTACGTGTCTGACATCATTTGTAGAATAAATGAAATTAATGGGGTAATTTTCAGACTCCGGGAAAGTTAATGATTTGATGATTACCCTGAAAAAATAACGTCAAAATCAGATTTCAATACCATTTAAAGCAATGTTGTATAAGGTCATGCAAAAAGAAAATCTTGTTGCAAGCACATATAAATACATTGACTCTAAAACTGTATATTAAAATCATTTTTTTTAATCAAGCTAGGATGATCGACTGCATGCGTATTATTTTCGATTGTTAGTGACCTAATTTATACATGCAATGAAAAAAGTTTTGGTACTTAATACTACAAGGCATTATAAGAGTTAGTATGCAACCTTTAAGATTTGCAATCTATTATCAAAAAATAAAGTAGATGTTTATATTTACATTTTTCTTTCATAATTGTTAAGTTTTACAGTCCATTTGCGAATTTATTTTTTATCCAAAGGCAATAGAATTTGGAAGAGTTTTGCATTTAAAACTTAAGGAGGCTGGGGGGTCAACAATTTAACCACAAAGTAACCACCAGTTTTGTCAACATTCATTTGACAAAGAAAAAAATCATAAATTTTAGTTTTTAATTTTGATCATTTTCTATATCTTTATATGGAGCTCTCCTTTTAAAGGAGATAGAAATAGTCTGAAAATGGCTGCCACCCCCCAGCCTCGTTAATGCACTTTATAAGGATGAAGCACAAAAATGCGCTCTAGATGTTTAGTAAGCTAAAACAGGTTAATAATGGTTTATTTTAGGACTTTTGTAAAATGTTTTACTATCTGTAAGCCTTACACACACCATAAAAAAAGCTGCAATCCAAGAATGTTTTATAATTATGATTTCTTTCCATTACATGATGTATTATGAATTTTCTAATTTTGATTCACCATATCTAGATCTCTATAGCTTAAGGCCTAAAATTTTGCGAAAAGCCTCCTTGTTGCCCTGGCATCATAGGCTGAGACATCGAAACAGCCGGCCCAGGCTGTTGGTTACCTTGCATTCGAACATTGCCATTTGCAAATGGATTCTGTCCTCCCATCATAGCACCGGATGGACCTCCCCTATTCATGGGTTGTCCCATATTTCCTCCCATGGGATTTCCGAATGGATTCATTTGTTGAAACTGAGGGGCTTGTCGTCTAGTGGGTTTGCCTTGTACAACGACAATAAATGAGTTCTCTGGTTTGTTGACAATAATTTCTGTCATTAGAGCAGTAGGATCGCCAATTTCTTTTAGCGCCCATCTACCACTGTATACCCATTCAAACTTTCTGTATAGAATATCGTATCCTTTAACAGGTTGAAGAGGTGGATCCCATTTAACTCTTAGCATTGTGGTGTTATTTTCTCCCTTCACTCGATCGACAGTAACATTTGGTGGTACTATAGTCTCTGTGGGTACAACATGATTGAAAATTAATGCTTATCCAAATATACATGTATGTATACCAAAATACAGTAGAACAAGGGAACAAAAAGAAGAGAAGTTCAATAGGTCTTACCTCGTTTTGGTGTTTTACGAACTTGAATAGCTGGTTCTCCAAACCCAACATTATTAACAGCATAAAGTTTAAATTCGTGGACTGTGTCATCATCTGAAAAGAAAAATCGCCATAGAAAAACGCACTAGACCAAATGAGATTAGAAAAATTAACATTGTTGTCAGGTTCTGATTGGAGGGTCAAAATTTCTTCTTTTTTGAGTCACTGCAAATACATTCATTTATATTTAACTGGAAAGTGATTCCGAATATTCTCAACCAGAGAGCTTCAGCTTACTTTAAAGAAAGGGAAAACTGTACAAATCAGAAATCAATACCGAAGAAAAACTACCTAAGAAATCGGAAATCCATCTTAATCTGGTTGGATCAATTTTTTCTTTCCGTAAAGCGCCGTTTTTAACTCCCCAATGAAGTGTGTAGTTCACTAGAGGTCCGTAAGTATGTTGTGGGGGAATCCACCTCATCGTCAGTTGTGGGGGATCAGCACGGGATAATTCAAGTTGGACACTCCTGGGAGCCGTCGGTACTGTTAAAGAGATTTATTTGACATATTTTTGGGTATACATATTTATATTAAAGATGGTTATATTTTACATTTGGCAACAAAAAGTAAAAACTGTTGTTTATTTCTTTCACCAAAAGATCGAGCTATTTTGTCATTCATGTAGGAAAAATTTCAAGAAAAAAAATCAGTTGTTGAACAGAAATTGATATATTACTACCATCAGCCTTTGTTTGACACATGACTACAGCTCCGCCTCCTCCAAACGTTTTTCTGGTTCTTGAAGACGCTTGGAAGTAGTAGACAGTGGCAGGTTCAAGGCCATCGATTACAGCTTGCGTCACCGTGGCATCCTTTGACTTGTAAAGATAGAATTCTCTGTACCTGCTATCTGTGTAATTTATATTATACCCGCGGATAATACCATCCGTGGGAAGAAGAACAGGTGGTTCCCAGGTGAGAATGACCGCTGTTTTGTTCAGAGATGTACAATTCAAGTTCAGTGGATGAGGTGGGTCTGTTAAAAAAAAGTTTGTGATTATCGTGTGATTTTACTTAAGGTAATCACTGAATGATAAAATAAACACACGGAAAGAAGTCACCAATTCTAAAAAGTGTCTTCTTTGTGACCAACAAATATAATTTGTGTACATAATAACTTTGTAAATTGCGGAACTTAGTTTGGACTATATACTTTCAATTTATAATTTGTTTGTAAGCTTCCCCATTGCTATCTGTTTTCATTCGTCGTCATTTGTTGGTCGTTAACATTTGAACATTTTCAGAATCGCTCAAGATCAAGTTTTAACCATTTTCAATCCTTGGGACCCGAATAGTGGGCTTCAATCATAAACATTAACGCAATTTTTTCATATTACAGATTTCCTAAGCCGTCTTCCAAACATGCATGTATTTAATTATTTCGAAAGAGAAAATTTTTCATTGTGATTTAAATCTGTAATATAATTTCACAATTACCAGTGATCGATCCAAACATGCATATATTTAATTATTACGGATGAGAAAATTTTGTCATCATGATTTAAATCCGATTTGCATACTAGATTCAGTTGCTGAGAGGTTTGCTTCGGATAATCTGCTAGCTTTTTGTCAATTAAGATAAAAATATAGACTGCAACAAAGAAAAAACGTTACATGCCGAAATTAATGAATATACTCGGAAAGAATTTCTTTCTTGAATTTTGCGATTTGTTATTTTTATATATGAATTATTTACACTCAGCAAATATAATGCAGCCAAACTTTAAGATAAACTTTCCTAAGAGTGCCACAATGAAATTACAATTTGTTTATTTAATCCGGCAAATTACTGTGAAATCAGTATCAAAATAATACGGCATAATAGTAGATTTACCATTTTATGTACATTTTCCTGTAGTTATAAGAAAAAGGGCACCTCAATTAGAAGCATAGCTAAAAATCAAAACAACATTTAACATAGATCCCGATGCAAATAGCCTCACTTCCGTTTCACAACAGGATTAACTCACTCACTCAAACACGATTGCTTTACTATATCCCTCTTACTTTTTTGCAAGTGGATAATTCATCGGATGGCAGCCACTTCAGATTCACAATGTACATGTACATGTAAATATGTCTATTTCATTACATAAAAATACTTTTGACTCAACAACATAAGAATTCAATTGATTGTTTATTTCGAAAAACATTATTATCGTTAAACGTTTGTTTCTGAAGAGGGTGTCCCTTCAAATGGATATATGCTTTCAGGTTTATTTTGACCAAAGGTAACTTACTGAAGTCGATCGTGAAGACCTCCCTTGGAATACTCCTGTCACCCTCTCCGTTGTTCGATCGTGCTGCCACCTGCATGACGTATCTGGTACCTTCAGACAGGTCATTGACAAAGAAGCTAAGTTTCATATTAGGTTGCTGGGATACAACCTCCATCATTTCAGTAGCATCTCCATCTTCTTTATAATAGATAACGTAATCGGTAATTCTTCCGGCGACTACGGGGGGATCCCATTGTAAGTACACGGTGTTAGGGTTTTTGGGTTCGATTACCATTATCGTTGGTGCGCTTGGAACTAAAAAATTAAAAATAAGTGATTCTTAAGGATCTTTGTGAATTAGTAGGATTAAATAGAGATGGACAATATTAAAGCCGAACCTGCCGTGATTAGAAATATAGATTTCTCTACATAATCTGATTCTTGATTGATAGCAGGTAAGCTAAAAAAGGGCTGTAACATTTCCACTAACGATATACACTCTTTAAAGACATGAATTGGAACTTAAGGCTTAATTATACTCCTGCAACTATGCACAGACACTTACTGATATCTGGAGTTTCCACAAATTCTGGGGCACTGGAAGATTCAGAAACAATGCCAGCAACGGTTCCAATACGGACTTGATACTTGGAACGTGGGGCAAGATCCGTGATGGAAGCACTAGTCTGGGTAGAGTCACAAATCCTGAAGACGACCTCACCCTGGGGCTGGTACCCTGTCTCGTCCACAGCGGAGAAGTAGACCTTGTATTGGAGATTGTCTGGGACGGGATTGGGAGGGTCCCACCGAACGACGATGGAGGACACATTGTCCATTGTGGCTGACTCCACAACGACATTTGTAGGTGGAGGAGGAGGGGCTGAAAAGCGAAGAGAAATGGTCAATAATTTGATATTAGTATTTGGTCTTTGTTCGTTTCTAGAAAAACATAAATCCAGTCAAGATTCCTATTTGTTTTGTTTCGCTGGACTTTTGAGATGGAATATTGTTCGTTAATATTCCTTCTACTTCACTAATCGACATTGGTCCCTTTTTAATTAGAAATACTTTTTTCTGAAGTTTTTTCCCCCAGTTCTTCTGAAATAATACTGGGCAATTTATTTCAGTGACACTCTTCTAAGCCAAAATCAGCAATCCAGTTTATAACTTCAGTTATATTGGATCAAGGTAAGCGATATTTCACCTTACTGAATCTGATTTTTTGTCATTTTAAGCATGAACTGAAGTCTTTTTTAAAAAGTAATTCGTACATTTGTATTTAAGATAAATTTCGTGTTACTGAAAAGTTTTTAAAGAAATTTGACTGGATATACAAGCAACGCAATAATTTTGAAATGAGATATCAAAATATAACCAAAACAGACTTCTTAACAGGAAATTAAGACAAAACGTAAACTTTTTTGTCATCGCAAGGGATTTATCTCATTATAGGAAAGGATTACTCAAAGGTACAAATTCTTTCTTTCTTTCAAAGCAAAACAATGACCATCTTGGAAACAATGAAATTATAGCCCTATTTAAAACAGCATAATGATTCTATGAAATTTCTTGTAAAATGTTTGGGATGATATAGTACAAGGTGGATAAATTAGCCTATTGCTGTATGAAATATATTTATGGATTCAAAAATAGGCTTAGTTTTTATATTTAGTTTTTTTTTTTTATTTGGTAAGTAATTTAATTAAAATTACATTTTCCACAAGGACGAACATGCAAAATTTTACAGGAAATTCTGCTGTCCAAAGAAATATAATGACTGGTATTATAAATGAGGTCCCCCTAATTTTATCCTATTTTAAGGCGGGCTGAAGTGTGGAGAGCATGATTTAATATAAGAGATTTCAAGTTTTTAGATAAAACATTACATAACTTGACAGAAGTCCTGTTGTTTCGTGACTTTTGTAATAAATTTCGTCAGGAAATTTACATATTACACAATGCACCTTGTATCGGGATATATTTTCACAATTAAGAAACTGTAAACCTATTGTAAGTCCGATTTTATCGCCTTTATGAAAGAATTATCTTATGTTAATGACAAACCAGTTAATCATATTAACTTTAAATTGCTAATCGAATGTCAATTTTTTAATGCATATTGTCAAGTTTGTCACGCAGGAAGGGATCTGTTTTGTGCTGAGAATTTATAATTAATATACACTTCATGTGTAGGAAATGTTCAATTTCCCGACGCATCCATATGACAAGTAACGTAATTAAATTTATGTAAGCAACGACAGTTTATTGTAATTATTCATCCACTCAGAATAAGAAAACTAAAACATAAATCAAAAAATATCCTTTTTAAGTAAATGAAATTAACAAGTTGATGTAAATTGTTCATTCTATAGGCGTTTTCACTTTTTTGGTCAATTTAATATGAAACTATAAAGTTAATTAACGAATATCATATAAAAGTAATCTGTTGTCACTGTTATACATGGAAAGCTGGTACCAACAGGGTCACGACATAAACTGTGCTTGTTTGAAGATAACATTTCTTATCAATGACATTATATTACTTGAGAGACCAAATTTCACTTACGAAAAACAATTAAGCACTGATGTTCCCCTGACACTACCATTTGTCATGGATCCGAGGCAGGCGTGCGTTTTGCCTGTAGGTCCTCCGAAATCGGATGTTATTTCTCGTGTTAACATGATTTACATTAATACTGTGGTGACATTGTTATGGGATAATCTATATAACATATAATTAACAAATAATTTTTATAATTATCATATTTTTTGGCTTGTTTCCTATTTGTTTTTTTTAACTTTATGAATATACTGAACCTTTCTAATAAAAAGATCGATTTTTTTAATATACAGTTGTATCTCTTGACATCTAACATTGGCAATAATATAATAGTTTAAGAAACGAACTAATACTAAATGTCCTAAAAAGCAGAATATTTTTCCCAATGGTTACAGATGTATTTTCCAATTTTACGATAAAGTATAAATACTGAGGTCGACGATTTGTCTGGGATTCAATTTTATGAATGGTGATTAGCTATGCGAGACCTTGGTCCGTAAAGAATGTGTGTCCATTTTAGCAACAGAGACAATTATAATACGCGTCGTAAATCATAGAAATAGGCACATTCCTGACCGAAATAAACAACACCGTGTAGAAGATTAAATGTTTCCTGTTTGCAAGCAAGCACCATTAAAATGATCAGAATAAAAAAGCCCTTTGTCTTCGAAGAATATACGTGATTGTAAAGCGGGTTTTTTTTAGTGTATTTTGATAACTATAGTAACAACCAACGAAAACCAAAATATCGTCCACAAAGATTTTCCACGATAGTTTTAGGATCCATGCAATGATGATAATGGACCTTGTAATCCTTAGTTTGAAGTTATGTCCCTTTAAAGAAAAACAACAACAACAACACTGATGAACACTTACTGGCTTGTGGGCAGCTGGGATTGGAAGATCCCATACGCATCTGCAGTTGAGCAGTGTTATCTTCTAGCGCTTTGAGTCTAAGTTCGACCTCCTCGAGGAAACTGGAATATACTGCATTAGTATTTACAGGAGGGTTAGGAATGTTTTGTCCCAATTCAGCTTGAACAACAGCTTGTAACATCTGAGCATTAGCTATAATGTTTTTCAAATGTCCATTGATGGCTAACAGTTTTTGTTGCTGCTGAGCCGACAACTGATGCACACACACACAGATTGTCACTATAGTTAATCCCAGAGAATTCCACATTTTGGAAAGTCTTTTTAATATTACTGTAAATCCTTCAGAAAAAAATTGATAATTTTATTTTATATATCTGAAAAAAAATATTTTAAAAAAGAAATTAATTTTCCAGTCCCCTAAGAAGAGCGCTTCTTTTTCATCACCGGAACTGTTACTGCGCTCGCGTTTACTACTTTTGTCGATTCTTGGGCTCTGTGTAAAAATATATGGTAGTTGAGTGACGTTAAGCGTCCTCATTTGGTATTCTGGTCTCCTGAGCACCTTAGGCTATTTAGGAAAAAAGAATAATAAAAGACATTAAGAGGTGTAACAAAACTGTGGTTAAGCCCATTTTGTTTTAACAGGTTTGGAATATGAGAAAATGATAATGATTAATAATTACTTTGTTTCATAAATACTTAGAGTTTTCATGAAACAACTTGTTTTAATATCAGAAGACTCCGTTTATATATGTGAAGTTTGAGTAAGACTTTTGTTTGTAAATTGGTTGTTTTCTTAGAATGTCGCTAGAACTGTTTTTACATTATTTTTATAAGTCTTTTCCTTAAAATAGTTTTTTATAAATAAAGTTTTAAAGTCACTGTGATATTGTTTGCTCAAAATGACAATAAGAAAGGTCAGTATTTGAAGAAATACCAGTTTGTTTCCTTAAAAGTTGTGTTGACGAATTATGAAGTAATTAAGAAGTACTTATTTGTATGCAATTGCAATTAATAATGGAAACAAAATTGGTGCATTCTGTTGTCATATTTATATAATAAAACATGTTAAGCTGACAACCCATGATAAATGTGCATGTTGTAGCCCAGCATTAACTTTTGAAAAATGCTGTACATGTGTTTAAGCAATTACTTTATTAGAAGATTTGCATATAATTGAATCAACTTGTCTTCCCTGGTTATTATTAAAAGAGTTTTTTCAGCTTTCTTAGTAAATGTATATGCTTCAGAATTTTAAGTCAAATCCACGTATTTTTTACCTAAAATTCCATTTATATGTATGAATTTCAGCATAAAAAATTACAACGTTAACTGTATTTTTTCTTTTTGTAGAGAAGTATTCCACAATCACCTGCATATGGTCCTGATGACTTTCAACTGATGTCCAAGAGCAGACTATTCAGGGGATGAACAGTTCCTAAACAGGGACAGGCTTCTGTCAGATAAGTTGAGGTAAAGGTTTTTAAATCAGTTTTCTCATTTAAAATAACATTTGGCAAAATTGATATCTATTATCGTTGTGAAGACTTTGTTTGCAAATTTAACCTATTGTCGTATTTTTACTAACACGTTACCCGACAATTGTTATGTCATTGTTTTTTACCATTTTGACGAAGGTATATGTATATACGAGCACTGGCCAGTGTGGCTGGTTGACAGGATATGTATCCTCTTTCAAGGCGCCAGACACACCCCCGATGTTTCCAGGACTTTTCCACTTTTCCTGATTCGCATTTTCACTGGATTTCCAAGATTGATCGCTATTAATCATCTGCACGGTTTAGATACCAATTTGAATGAAACTGAAAGGGAGTGGCGTCTGAAGTCGGTCTTAACTGTACAAAAATAGCACAGGAAGCTATATTAATGCAGGTTGTTCCAATAATTACCTTTAGAGGGCTGAAGGGCAAACACAAGATTTATAGGCTTATTTAGGTAAGTATAAAATATTCCAAAAAAGCAATTCAATAACCATTTATAAAATTGATTGCATATGACGGTACGGTAACATTTTTAGTTCAATGAAAGATCATGGTTAAGTTTTCCTGTTGTTTTCTACTGACACTGATTATTTCGTTCTGTCTTACATGCATTGATACAATTTTTTATTTTAATTTTTATTTTAATTTTCATGTCCTTTCCACACCCCCATCTTAAATTCTTTCATCTTTATGACTTTATCATTTCCAGATTACTACATGGTCTTATTAAAATTTCTGGAGAGGTTGATGTTGTTGAAAAATATGATCAGAATCATTTCCAAAGGTTAAAAAATCATGAGCCCAGAGCTTTCAAATAGTTTAATATATTAGTTTCTGTTATGAATTGTGTGTATGAATATAAATGATGATATAAGGCTGAGTATGAAAGGAATTTACCCCAACATTTTGTTAGAATGTACTTTTTAAAAGTTAAGTTAGAATTGAATTAAAGGCGGATGGTATAAACAAATAAAGCCTTGATTGGTATACTTTAGTATATATATCTTGGCCTACTTTAGTTTTAAATGAAGAAACAAACAATAAATATCAAACATATTATGAAATGGCGAAGATTCTTTGAAACCCAAAATTCTACTACAGTAACTATAAAATCACATATTTTCGTGGGGACAAGTTTCCGTGGTTTGATGAAAAACTCTTGGTTCATGGGGATTTGATTTCATGGATGGAGAATTTTTCGGTAGTTATGTATGTAACATTTTACATTTGGTGGTGACATAAATTCGTGGGTCTCTTCATACTTCGAAAACAAGGAAAATTAAACCCCAAGAAAATTTGTGATTTCACAGTATTCTGCAGCCATCCTTATCAATCTATAATTTTTTGTCAGATAAAATCCAGTTATTAAATAATAAAGTAAAACTTTGGATTAAAAAAAACGTTTGCGGTTAAATTTGTACATGATACAGGGTACATACATATACATCGTTGAAGTTATTTCAAGATGTTTGAAAAAATTTAAAGTTTGATTGTATCATCTGTCCTCCTCTACCAGTAATGATAACTCCGAGTTATTTATTTAAAAAGGCTCAAAATGAAGCTTGATTTTAAATATCGCAATATGATTCAAGTTTTTATTATTTTTTTTATTTTTGAAGTCCAAGAAGCAGCACTGAAAAATTTGACATTTTTACCCTTAAAGTACAAACATAAAAACATCTTTAGATAAATCAAATTTCTTTGAATATAGACCAAGAAACCAATGCTCATTAGCCATGATTTGAAATTAGAAGTGATATATGATGGCTTTTAATGATAGCACAAGTTTTTTAGTAATAAGTTTTATCATAATGAAGAAATATTTTTTTAAATAAATCAAATACCACATAAGTAAAGAAAACATTATATAATATCCACGAATATCTTGAATATGTTGATCAATCTACAATTAGAAATTGCATAGTTGGTGCTTTTGTTTGCCGTTTTTTAAAATACATATGTACATGCATTTAAGATTTTGATAATTTATGCTGTGTCATATGATAAATAATGTTGAATTTTGAGGAAATACCACGGGAATATACACATTACTTTGTGAATGAAGAGATGTGTTATGAGCATTTTCATTTACTTTACCGATTTTTAGATCCAATTGATCGGACAACCTTAAACAGTCAAAAGGCAAAATGTCAACCATCTATTATTTTTTTTCCATTTTCAATATACTTAAAGTGATAGAATTAATTAGACTACATGATCGATGGTAACATTTCTAGCTGACAAAGCCTTAACAAAAGTCTTTTTATAAGGGTAACATAATTCGCATCTGGTAATACAACAATGCCTTTCCAAGGTCCTTAATTTTTAAGACTGATTCCGAATGCAAGTTGGTGTCATGAAAATAATCAATTCTCAAATCGAGGAAGGCTACTGGTGAAAACGTTAATGTTACGGACTTTTAAAGTCAGCATTTCAAAACGACTGTGATGTTTCAATTACTTTGCAAATATAAATGTGTTATAGGGTTAACAGTAAACAATCTCAAAAGTCCATTGAAACTATACAAATTGGGAGCATAACAAACACGAACCTGTAAAGCATCATAGGTTGGATCAGAAGCCGTGGAGAGGTAAGCTTCTCTCGAGAGGCCACACACGCCCGTGTCATGATCTTGCATACGGATTGTCCATGACACCTGATCCTGCATATTATGTTTTAGAGGTCCGTATTTGCTCTGCTCCTATTTTGTAATTTTGGATGGACAATTTAGCTTGAATACATTCGTTATCTCCATATATTTCATGTGGACAATATCGTTGAGTCGAACGTGTTGAATGTCAGTATTTAAGTCATTTAGTTTATATTATTTGAGTGACTATTACTCCTTGGCCTGATTAATGCAGAGGTGTGAGACAGAGCATAATGAGTGAGTGCTAACTCCACCTGGCCATCTGATCATATTCCAGGTCCCTGTGAATTTTTTTTTCATGTTTCGCTTTGTAGGGAAATTTATGAGATTAACCACTGCTCTTGAATAAAGATATGGAGATCACGAACAGAATTCAATCTCAAAGTCCATTAAACAATACAAAATAGGAGCAGAGCAAACACGGACCTCCGAAACATTAGTCACACCCGCCGTGTGCTCCTTGTCATGATCAGGAAATAACGGGAAAATCCGTCGTCAATTCAATGTATAAATAATGGACTAACAATAAGTATGAATAACCTTAGTCAGCATTTGACTCAATGATAAACTGTGTTTGCTGACAAGGTCATTGTATCCACCATAGAACTTACGAAATGATGACTTTAAACGAGACTGCTGATATTCTTGTTTCATCAACTTGCTTGTCAATAATTTACCTCGTTTTAGAAATTGTTCATACGTAGAGCATGCTCTTGCGTATCACTTAAAAAGTTCTTTGCATTTATGAATCCTTATTCTTTTTCTTTGCTTTAGGCTCATTAATGTAATTTTCACACTGGAATCTTTTGTAAAGTTCTCATCTTAATGTTTTTTTTTTAAACGATGGCTAAAGGCAATTTTTAACGATCTTTATTTTCTGTATTTGCGTTTCCTGTCTAAACCCCACATAGTTTAATGAGGTAAAACAATTTCTAAAGTATTGCAGTGCTTTTATCTAATTTTATGTGATTTCTTATTTTTGACATTACTTGTATGTAGTCCAATCCTCAGGATCTAAAATTCAGGCGTCGAATAATTGAAAATGCTCACAAAAATGTCTTTGATTTCTCTAAATAATGTCTATTAACCCACGGTAATTCCTCAAACTTCATCTCTAAAGTTAATAGTATTATAAAGGGGAAAAAAGCAAATCTCAAATAAATTTTCAGAAAATGTTAATTAAAATCCCTACTATGCATTTTCTGATTGTAAATTGATCAATAACTGCATTTTGGAATGAAAATTACAGGAATCTAGGCCTTGGAAGAAAATTATGTGATTTCCTGAAACTGATCTAGATAGTAAAATACTTGAACTGTGAACAAGAAAATGTAACTACCTACATTTTGTATTGTTTAATGGACTTTTGAGCTTGAATGCTGTTTTCTCCATATATTTCATACGTACACTAGTATCCATTGCAAATCATGCAGATTATGTTAGTGGTAATATGTTATGTGTAAAGCTAAAAACCAACTTGTACTGGGTTGCCTTGTTTGTTTATTTTAAATTTTGTGACATATTTTAAGGTAGTACAAAACACCCCTGGATCCTATTTTTACTAATTTCTTAAAAAATACTGGAGAAAAAAAGAATAATATTACTATATTGACAACAATGAATGACCCCTGTAAGAAAAATAACAAGTTTTGACATGATTGCGTCATATTTTGTGAAAAAATCAGAGAATCCTATATACGTATTGGTCACTTGAGAGCTTACATTTTGGAATATGTTTACGCTATCTAAGTGCTAAAGAAAAGCATATAGTAGCCAGTTATAAAATGCAGTGTAACTTTTGTTCAATAAATAGCAGAGGGCTGATATTTGGACACACATATAACTCTGTTCTTTGTGTACTATAAAGGAAGGTCATATCAAGAGGTCAAAGGTCAAATATTGTGACGCCATCTACTGAATCTTTTAGTTAAATTTTTTTAATCGCCAAAATACATGTATCAGAAACTACTGGTTCAATTTTCTTTATTTTTACACAATTTACTCTAGGGCCCATTTTAATCATTTTGTTAATTTTTTGCAAAAATTGAATTATACATTTTTTCTTTAGAAAACTCTAAGTGTAGGATATTTTTTACATGTAAATTTTCAATTCCGACGCTATATATATGTATGTTCTATTTTTACTTAATATTTTTCTCAAATGGACCAGTATCAATATGATTTACTATGTTTAAGTAAGAAAATGGTTATCTTCATCAAAATTATAACACAAACTTGCAACAGATCAATTGATAATTCTAGAATAAGGCTCATTCTAAAGTCGAGTGTCTGATTTCACAATCTTCTTATAACAGGGGTCTGATAGGCCATATTTCAGACAATGTGGGCAAAATATGTGTGGTTGAATTTCTTTCATATTATATATAAAGAGAGATTTTGTATCCTAGAACAAAATATCAAAGTTTCAGAAAAAAATGAATTTGAAGAAAAATTGGCCTATCTATTGTGTCCTACCTTAAAACAAAATTAATATAGCCTGATTTATGCATAAAACTTGTGCATTTGTCTTTTGTGTCATTGCGGTTTTGATCAGTTTAATAATGCACATCTTTAACCTCGACATTCTTCTAAATGCAAATATATTAACCATAGAACGTAAAATGCAATATTAATAGTAAAAATGATTATAATTAATTAAGAAATTCATCATTAAGATTAATTTAACACGATTCTAGTATTATGGATGAAAATATAGAAAATAACAAATTATTATTTTCAAAAGTTTATTTCTGAATAAGATAAAACCACTTAGTTAGTCAAAAGTTTATTTCAGAATA